CAGACCAGGGATATACGAAAACCGTACGAGCAGTCTAGAATACTTATCGGTCCTGCTTTCTATCTAGCCCAACCAGTTAAGTCCAGAACAGCCTCTGAAGTATGAATTATTATATTTCAAACATACTGATTTTATATACCAATCAAACTGACCACCTCGTACCATAAAATAGAGAATAATATATGTTCAAGATTTAGCCAAATGTAGCTGTGAATAGGGGGAACAGTAATTAATAGACAGGAGATAATTCAAAAATGTTAAATCGTATAAAAATAGTTCATAAGTCAAAATAAAGTTCATAGAAAGGGGACATGAATATGAATAGTTTAGTTATTTAGTAATTATACGATAAAAAAATATATGCATAGTATTGGTCCATAAATGGATCGCATAGTTGACATGCATTACCCTTATCGAGGCATAACATGTTGTATTTTCAATTCCAAACAGCAGTAATGGAAACTTATTAATTACGCTATTGACAAAATGATCAAATTTATTACACTACTTGTTTATTACTTACTTACTTACGTCTGTTAATCGTAATGGAGCATAGACCGCCTAACAGCATTCTACAACCCACTCTCTCCTCAACCTTCCTTTCTAGTTCTATATAATTCTTGTTCATTCTTCTCATATCTGTCTCCATTTCTCGGTGTAATGTGTTCTTCGGTCTTTCTCTCTTCCTTTTACCTTGAGAATTCCATGTGAGGGCTTGTCTTGTGACGCAGTTGAGTGCTATCCTCAATGTGTGTGCTATCCACTTCCACTGCTTATTCTCGACTTCTCCCTCCTCTGAAATTTGTTTTATTCTCTCCCACAGTAAGTTGTTGCTGATAACGTTTGTCTAACGGATCCGAAGTATTTTACGTAGACAACTGTCAATAAACACTTGTATCATCTGGATGATAGCTTTCATAGTTTTCCAAGTTTCCAGCCCATACAGTAGAACTCTCTTGACATTTGTATTGAAAATTCTGATCTTGGTGTTGGTTGACAATTGTTTTGTGTTGCAGATGTACTTCAGTGGTAGATATGGTGCTCTTGCTTTGCCGATCCGCATTTTCACATCTGCATCAGATCCACCATGTTCATCGAGTATGCTACCCAGATATGTAAAAGTTTTCACATTCTCCAAAGCTTTTCTTTCAAGTGTAATTCCATTGGTGCATGCTATATTGTATCGTTTCTTGTTTATATATATATATATATATATATATATATATATACATATATATACTTGTTCCCCCATTTATTTAAACTTATTTATTTGTTTATACTTGAGACAAACTATTTAGATACAGATTTATTTTACTTCAAGCATATATTATCTAAATCGTGATATTTTAGTGAATCTTGTTTGATAAGAGAGTAGAGTTTAGTAATTGTAAATTCACATGTGTATGAATATAAAACGATGTAGTATACAACAGATCGCTGATTTTTTTTTCCATTTTTTATATTGCACAACTGTCATGAATAGTTACACATATCACCTATCTCATATACTACATGGTTAATAGTAACCGGTAGCAATGGCTCATAACTTTTTCTTAACCTGGAGATTTTTTCCTAGTAGACAGTCAACTGTTAACAAATGAATAATAGTGTGTTAGTTCTATGGAGATTGTTTATTCTAAGAAGAAACTGATGTTACATTCGATATAGTTTTCAGTACCTTCACAGAAAAAATCAATCCGAGAATTAAGTAAGTTTAAAGTAATATATTATTTATAAAAAGAGTATTAGAGGAAGTTTTAGTAAATTCTCATAATCATTTCGAATGGAACGAACGTTTTTGTTTCCTGCTTTACTAAGTATTTAAGGCATTTGATATCAGATAATTCTCTTCTGTTATTCAATATTTAAACAAATAATTTCTTTTTAAATGTTTATATTCATCTTGTAAAATGACAACTTTCAATAAAATAAGCCACATTTTTCAATACTACTATTAATTTCACTTGGTATTGTTAACTTGCATTTTCCCATCGTTGTTTAGGACTGCGGTTGATCAGTCTCTTGTTGGCATATGTACATCTTATGCGGACTGCCTCGATATTGCCTGAAGTCATAAGCTTTATAAGCATTGATGGAAAGTGGCTAGCAGTGGAATTCAGAACGCGCGCCATTTCGTCCTATTTGGGACTCGTCAGCCGGATGTACCTGCATCTCAGACTTCCTGATGTTCACCATGGGACTCGAACCAAGTACCGCTCGCTTCAAACGCTATCGTGTAATCCGCTAAGCTACTGAGTCGTGATAATCACCTGCTTGTGCAATGGGGCGAAGTTATATTCACATGATGTTGTTTACATGTACCTTCCCATTGTTATTTAGGACCGCAATTGGTCAGTCTCTTGTTGGCATATGTATATCCTGTGTGGGCTGTCTCGATATTGCCACTGCTAGCCTATATCCATCACTGCTACTAATTTGCTTTGTACGTTTATATAAATGAATTTCATCATTTATCATATCTACCATAATTTATTCTTCTTTTCAAGTCATTGCGATTGGTGATTCGTTGATATAATTTTATCTGTTTTATATTTAATCTCTTGTGTTTTTTGCAATGAATTAAAAGATTATCAGTTTTAGTTTACTAATTAAATGTTGAAAAAGTGTCCTCTTTATACCTATACGTTACTGAAGTTAATTTAGACTAAGGATAAAACAGAATATTCCGTTGTCAAACTATACAGGAACACATTAACTAGCATTTATATTGAGTAAACTAAATTGTATCGTGTTAGAATTAGTTTAATTAACTATAAACATAATAGTAAAATCTTTAGGCTTATCGGTTAGATAGAATAATTATTATCAGAAGTTCGATGACCAGCTGTTTAAATTTGTTTTAACAAAAGAACTTTTTATAATTTGCATTTTAAATTAATTAACTGTTCAGTTGCATATGTTAAAAAGATTATTTGAAAATTATTGAAAGGGGGTTTTGTGGAGATTTTAGTAATTTTGTATAGTTGATATCATGAGTCAATCGAAGCTAGACGACTATAATAAACCTGAAGACATTGGTGAATGGTTGCTCAACTTCGTGGATTGGTTGAAGTTAGACATTAACACGCTTGGATGCCAGCTCAGTGGTCTTGTGGTTAAGTGCTCGCGCGCGAGACTGATAGGTCCTGGGTTCGAATCTCGCGAGGCGAGGTCGTGGATGAGTACTGCTGAGGAGTCCCACAATAGGACGAAAAGGCCGTCCAGTGCTTCAGGGTTTTCCATGGTGGTCTACATTCAATTTACTCATGATTTTAACTATATGAAATTATTTTAAAATTGCTGAAAGATTTTATGGTAAACTTTTTTAACAAATTTAAGATTCCTCAGAAGTAACATGATTGAACTACTGTACAGTAACTCAGGGTATTGATGATACAATGGCTGCTACTAGACTAGAAGGCCTTGAAGCTAACACTTTACGGGATTGAAAAGACATCTCACTGACTTAGTTTAAACTTCTATACAACAGCTGTCAGATAAATTTTTTGCCTTGAAGAGTTATTCAAGTTATGTCAATTTAATTGTTTTACTTATTTTAAGAATAATAAAAAAACGATTTGATCGTAAAAATATGATGTAACTGAATGTAAAACAGATAATCTCTATTTGAATCGATGTTACTATAACCAGGTATTGGACCAATCTATTAACACAAGGTAGTTTTGAACAGTACTTCGGTAGTGAATTAAAAAACGGGTGGGGACAGTCGAATGTATTATAGCACAACATTACAGAATATCTCATTAAAATATGAGGACCTTATGGTGAACAGTTATTTTGCAAAATAACAATCAATTGTCTCAATTTGACTGTTTTTTTCTGCAAATATCCGTTCATAGTCTCCGATTATAATTGTTCATGCATTTTCGTACGGATTGCGTGTCGTTTCTGTTCTCTCCTTAACGGTCTTCTACTGAAATACATTCAATGCACGACCATCAACATATACTACTTATGTGGATATCAGCAACCAACACCACACATTGAAATAATAACTATTAATCACCACGTAGTTAATTATCGAAGACTAATCCATTCACCCAATGTGTTCTATTGATAACACGTGATAAAACTGTAAATTTCAAAGTCCTTATCACCATCTAAAAAACTGGACCACTGTTCGAACACCCAGTTTTATTATAAATTATCTAGATTATACCATAAGTTGTAATAAAAACATAATTCTGAACAACCACATTGTCAGATAAAAACCAACGTTAACTAAATCAAGGAGAACAATTCACAAGATAACTAAAATATTATATTCCATGGTGTGTTGTATCAAGTGAAATGTCTGTAGATAAGAAGATTAAAGTCTCAGTATATCAATATATGAATGATTTGTAACATTATTCTAGCAATACAATTCAAACTTCATTACAACATTGTTTATCATCATTGTTATTTTGTATTTATTTATTTATTTAAACACATAAATATTGGTACAAGGAAGCACCAGATAAATATGCGCCTCACAAATCTCATTCGACTTGTGTGAGGGCTGCGATACTGCCCAGGTGCCCAGACTGAAGCAGGTGGTTTTCTTAGGGGGCCACACCAGGAGCCTTTGACCTGAATGTCTAATCCACAAGGCAGTGGAGCATCGTGAGGAGATGCAGTTCCATGGTAGCCGGTGACCAACAATTGGTTCATACGCCATTTGTTACCTCAGGATACTGGAGCCGATGTGCACCATTTGTTTGGAATCAGGGTTTTCCAACTCCCCTAGGTGAACTTTCCATGTCCACCAACCCGGTTAAAGCGCTGGACATTCGCTTTTCGTCCTCTCAATCTCGTAAACAACATCCCTAGTGCGAGAAGGCAGTGAGTAGGACTTTCGTGACAGAGGCTATATACTCGTGGCCATGTGAGAGCATTTCGAGAGGGAGAGCGGACTCTCCCTACTCTCGACCGTCACAGGGCATTTGGGGGCATATATATTTTATATAATTTCCCTGATGTTATCCTGAACATTTTATAATTGGAATGTTTAAGAAACTTCAAATTTCTATTCTATAATGTATATTTTAAAATATGAAAAAATTTATTTCAAGATTAAACAAAATGTTTTAGGTGTATGAAAAAAGTTACTGATAAATCATTATTACCATAGATCCAATTTATTGAACAATAAAAGGGGAAAATGATAAGAAGGTATTTTTTTAAAATTATTAAATATTTAATTGATCAATTAAAATGAAACATCAATAAATCAAATGTTATCAGGTATATTTATTGATTTTAAATCAATAATGACGATCTTAAAATTAAACGGAAGTATTACTTTATAATTGATTATTGAATTAGATTTTATTGATATATTACATAATTATTATCTTACTTATTATGATCATTATGATGAATATCAAATTTATGATCATTATAGGTATTATTTTGTAATAGTTCATCTAAAATATCTTCCAAATATACGGATACATTATCAGTTAAATCATTTAAAAATAATTCAGCTAATTCTTTTGAAGATACTTCATTTAATACTGAATTTTGTCGAGTATTCTGTTCTGTATTGTTTGATTCTAATATCTAAAATAAATTAAATTAAATTAAATGTATTGTTGATTGATTAGTTCAATAAAAGAGAGAAAAAAAAGTAACTAGAATTCCTTTTAACTAATCTAACACTATAAGAATAAATGGATAGTGGCTATCAATGGAATCCAGGATAAGCGTTTCGTCCTATTTTGGACTCGACGGCTGGATGTACCTGCATCTAAGATTCATTGATATTCACTCTGGGACTCGAATCCAGTACTGTTCGCTTCAAATGTCATCGCGTTATTCACTCAGCTACGATTCCTGATAGCCACTTGGTTGTGCGATGGGATGAAGTTTAAATTCACTTAGTATTGTTTGTTTGGATCTTCCAAATCTTTAGGACTGCAAATGATCAGTTTCTTGTTGGCATATGTGGATACTGTGCGTATTGCCTCAATATAACCTTTTATTTCACAAGCATTGTAAACAATGATGGATAGTGGCTAGCAGTGGAATTCAGAACGCGCGTTTCGTCATATTTGGGACTAGTCAGCTGGATGTACCTGTATCTCAGACTTGTTGATGTTCACTCTAGAACTCAAAGCCAGTACCGCTGGCTTCAAGCGCCATCACATTTCACACAGGATACACATATGCCAATAAGAGAGTGGTCAATCGCAGTCCTAAATATCAGTGGTAAGATCCGAACAACCAATACAAAAATGGATTAATTAAACAAAACAAGTTCCATATCATTTAGGTCAAACAAAGTCAATCAGTGAGGTTGCTTATATAGAGAGAAATCTGATCAAATATTTTGGCATTTTAAGTTCTCTCTATTTATATACATCAATAGTTTTACATAGAACCATAAACTGGAGTATTCAAATCAAAACGGAACAGAAAGTTAATCATGTCTTATCAATCTGTATGCTTAATGAAGCAGTTTAACTTGAATAATCTATTAGGTTTTATGACCTTCATCTGTGATAACCTGTTTTCCACTTTTAAATGAACAAATGCTAAATAAGATGCCTCTCACTGGTAATATTGTTATCTACAAATAACTTATTGTATGTATATTGATAATAGACCTAGGTAAAATAATTCACTTACATTACTTTTCATTTCCTCTTCACTCAAAATAACCTGTTGATTTTGTTCTATTATTTCCAAGAACTTTGAACTTTTCTCTTCACTCCCTTCAATGACCTATTGTTGGTGTATTACCGGTTGTTTTGTTTTAAATCCATGAAAAAAAAATCATTAATAAATGGGAATATTTGGTACTAGTGTGTTGTGGGTTACTTATATCCACGTAAATAGTATATAACGATGATTGGACATAAAATGCATTTCAGTAGAAGATAGATAATGAAAGAACGGGAACGAAACGCAATTGGTGTGAAAATGCATGAGCAATAATAATCGAAGACGATTGACTGATATTTGCAGAAGGAATAGTCAAGATTGAGACAATTGACTGATAGTTTGCAAATACGCTATCTACTATATGGCTCTCATACTTTACTAAGATATTCTGTAACTTTGTGCCTGAATACGTTCGGTTGTTCCCACACGTGTTCAGAAACAGATCCATTGAAAAATTTTATGTGAGACATGAATAAGCGTTTAAGTGTTTCATGTTTACGAGTTGTGAAAAGAATGACTTTTAAGGACCAAAGAAAAGGGAATTTTTAGAGTAAATATCCCTTAGCGGATTGCAAAAGAAGTTTTGAGTTAACATTAACTATCCTATTTTTGTTTTGTAATGCTTCTTCTGATATGCTAGTGTGAACAGGTTAAATCATGTTTATTTGTTGAGAATACAAGTAACTCGAAATCAGATTATACAGTTAAGGTTTTTTCGTAAGGTAATATAAAAATTTACTAATAAAACGCCTTCACTTGAATAGTTACTGACTTGCTTACGCCTATCACCCCTCGTGGAGGAGCATACGCCGCACACCAGCATTCTCCATCCAACACTGTCCTAGGTTCTTTGGCCTTCCTCTTTTCCGCTTCCCTTCCGGATTCCAAGTTAGGACTTGCCTCGTAATGCAGTTTGGTGATTTCCTTAATGTATGTCTTATCCACTTCCAACGTCTTTTCCTAATTTCCTGTCCATTTGGAATCTGGTTTGTCCTCTCCCATAAAACGCTGTTTCTGATATTATCCGGCCAGTGAATGTTGAGTATCTTGCGTAAACAACTGTTTATAAATACTTGTACCTTATTGACGATGGGTGTAGTAGTTCTCCACGTTTTGGCTCCATACACTGGGACTGTCTTGACGTTCATATTGAAGATTGTCACTTTGAAGTTAGTTGAGAGTTGTTTTGAGTTCCATACGTTATTCAATTGTAGGAGGCTGTCCTTGCTTTGCCAATATGTGCCTTTACATCTGCATCAGATCCTTCATGTTCACCAATGATGCTTCCCAGGTACGTGAATGTTTCCAGCTCCACCAGAATTTCGCCATCAAGTGTGACTGGATTGACGTTCACCGTATTGTATTTGAGAATCTTTCTTTTTCCTTTGTGCATGTTGTGGCCTATTGATGCAGAGGCTGAAGCTACATTTGTTCTCTTCGTCCGTATTTGTTCGTGTGTATGAGATAGGAGGGCTAGGTCATCTGCGAAGTCCAGATCGTCTAACCGTTTCTGAGATGTTCATTGTATTCCTTACTTCCCGTCAGATGTCGAGGTTGTCATAATCCAGTCAATCACCGGAAGAAAGAGGAAGGGGGAGAGTAGACAACTTGAATGGTTGGTCAAGTTAAACGAGTAAGAAATAATTAACCTTAATATATGACAGATGGATTATTATGTATTATCACATTTGATGTTACCTAATAGATTATTCCTATGTCATTAACAAGTGGGAGTAGAAATTCTTTACTCTTTATCATATTTATGAAAATATGCAGAATATTCTCCCCTTACTGTTCCAGAAATGAACTGTGAGCAGAAAGTATCCATTTTTATACTTAAATGTAAAAAAAAATCAGAATCATTTTAAGTTTAATTCCAAACTACTGAACTTCGTTGTCAGCAAAAATATAATAATTTTAAAAAGTTCTCACCCCTTGAACCATTTCTTGTGATATATTACGTAGTATTGGTCGGACTTCATCTAAGCTAATCGATTCATCTCGAACATTTTCAACAAGGGTTTGAATTCGTTTTATTGGTTCAAAATTGGCGCTACTTTCTGTTTGATCTGTGATTTCTGATTTAGTTGATGAAATTACTTTTTCTTGAGCTACTTAAACAAGAAAAGTTATTCATAATAAGATAACTTCATTTTAAATGAATTTATTTTGTATTACTGGTTGAATCGTTAAACAAACAAAATTGTTTTTTTTTGAGTAAAGCTACTCTCAAATAGGCAGAATTTGCCATAACTTCGTATTCTTTGATGACAATAATAATAACAGTTGTTTGATCACTGGCGGTTAACAGGGATTCATTTTCTATAGTTCTAATAGGAAGCTAAAAAAAACGAAGTTGATATTGAGACAAAATTCCAGAAGTGACATTGAGTCATGGATGGGGTTTTAATGTAAAGCAACTGAATTTGAAGATGTCAGTGGTTGGGTCCTTTATCAGCAGTCTTAGCACATCGAAACCAAAACATTACGTGTTTGCTAACATGTTAGATCATCATTCCAACATGTAATCTCATCTAGATAATATTGGATCAGACATGAATGCACACAAGTCGATCATCCAATGCAATAACACGAGAACAGAAAATTAATAATGATATGACTGCGAGAGTTAAATTAAGCGTATTATTAGCAACTACAGACTTGCCATAGGGATAATGCGTCAAAAAGAAAAGTATTAAATAGAACATAGACTGAAAATTGAGAGTAATTTGATGAATATATGCAACTGCAACGCCTAGAGATGTATTGAATAATGTCATGTGTGAACGAATTTAAAGTTGGAGACAACGGTAGTCTTAAGCTTTCTAGTTTTTAGTGCTTCTTGACTAATACTATCTGTATGGAAAATAATATGCAATTCTCACGAACTGACGACCAAATGCGTATATCGTCTGGGAAAATTTGAAATAATGTTAAAGGAAACTTTTCTAACACTGATTTTATGAACATTAGTTTGGCCAGTTTCTTACGAGATTCAATGGATAATAGAAAACAGCCTCTCATAATTTTTTTCAGGCAGACGTTAACCTCAACTTTCTATTATGAAAATATCAGTGTGGTTCAACCCAATATCCACTGATGAAAAACATAAATTCGGTAAACGCGTGGGATTAGAACAAAAACGCTTTATGAAAGTCACATTCTAATATCTAGGACTGATATACTAAGTAAATTGGAGAATAACTGGGAGTTCTGTGCACTACGCACTAAATGAATATTGAAAACGCCGCGGACAATAATAATAGTTTCTTCGCGGACAATATTCGGTATACGTATTGTACTACTACTATTATTATAAGTAGCTTATTTAATTACATAGTAATTTATCACTTGTTATATTGAATGGCATTATAGAATACCAAATTTTTGATAAAATATAGAATTCTCAGAACAAAGTATTTCAATTAGTTTCCCTTTCCTATCTCTTGCCCGATCCAGAAGACAAATACTGATTGATTGCCAGTTAGATGTCGGCAATCCAAGAATGTACATCTGAATAGTGTTCATTCTTTTCAATGCATATTATCACCAACAACGATGTTTGTAACTGTAAACTTTCATAAACGCACCTGAATAGGTTATACGACCAAAAGACATAATGATATGTTGAAACGAAAAAAAACGGATGACTTGTTGAAATATCTAGATGACAGGAACAGGTAACCCTGTTCCTGCTCGATTGATCATAATTTATAATGTTAATGACTCAGAATTTCAATGACTCTAAAGACTGTAATAAATGCAAACAAGCATGTCATCGGGTTTTATAAGGTGATCAGTTTCGAGAAATGAGAAATTTTTTCAGTTTTTTTATTGAGTTAATAACAAATTTGCTAATAAATTCACTTAGTATTGTTTGTTTGAATCTTCCCATCGATGTTTAGGACTGCAATCGTTCAGTTTCTTATTGGCATGTGTACATACTGTGCGTATTACCTCGATATTACCTTGCTTCACCAGCATTATAAGCAAACATGAATAGTGGCTAGCAGTGGAATCCAGGACGTGCGCCATTTCGTTCTATTTGAGACTAGTCAGCTGGATGTACCTGCATCTCAGACTTTTTGATGTTCACTATGGGACTCGAACCCAGTACCGTTAGTTTCAAACGTCATCGCGTTATCCACTCAGCTAATTAGTCTTGATAGCCACCTTCGAGTCCAAGAGTGAACATCAACAAGTCTGAGATACAGGTACATCCAGCTTACAAGTCCCAAATAGGACGAAACGCGCGTTCTGGATTCCACTGCTAGCCGCTATCCATCTTTTCTTAAAATGTGCTATTAGTTTACACTTTTTGATGATGTTGCGATCTATCGACATTTCCTCTTTATAATAATATCAGTTATCAGTATAGCTTAACGGTTCGGTCTGTTCACAGAAAATCACATTATATTCCTATAAAGATTCACATTTAGTCATAATATATTCCGTCATTGTATATTAAATAAAAATATCAATGTGTATAAACGACATACCGAAATTATCATGAATCGGTAGAATGTAATCTTATATAGATTGTGTCACTTTGATTGTTAAGTTTCCTGAGAAACACCAATGCCAGACATATATAATTATTTTATTAGTCTGTGTTGCAAGTAGTTACCACAAAATGTTTTGAATATCTTGGCAACATACTGTTCCAATTAAATATCATTCATTCATTTTTTCGAACTGTAATGGTAATGTCTTGTTTCTTTCTATAATCGTTTATTATTCCATCTTACAGAATGTTACATCAAGCTTATCTAATACATTTTCGAACCAAAAAGTCGGGAAAATAGCGCAATAAAATAATATTTATAAATTAGTCGTATAATTACACTGCATAGCTATCGTGCTCAACTATAAATAGTGTGATATCGGACTCGTGTTTATTCTTATTTAGGACTCTGGTTAAAATGAAAATGCAAACAATTCAAAGCACTCATAGTAATAACCTAACCTTCTTTGTTCTAATAAATAAATATTTTTGTAATATATAAAACAGAATTTCACTATTTTTACAAATAGCTTACACTAATAATAGTCATGCACCCACCAATTATAAATTTCAAGAAGTGATTCCACAAGTTCTCTTGAGGTATCGTCACCAATGGAGGTCAGCTATATCAGGCGTGTGACTGTTACTAACCAATGTTATTAAAAGATGGTTGACCAGTAACTCGAATTCATTGACATTATACACGTAAACCACTGGATACTGGCTCAGTGTTCTAAGGGTCGGGTCCCATAGTAAGACCCGAAGTTTCTAGGTTATGTACCTTGTAGGTTTAAGGATTCTCATTGATGTGGGATCACACACTAGAGTGAAATATCCCTGTTATGTCCCCTGGTTTTCAGTGGTACTCCAAATGATGTCATTTTGATTTTCAACTGTTGTCTAACTTAGATTAATTCATGATATAAACTATAAACCTCAACAACATCCACTAAAATCCTTACACTGTTTTATCAATTTTTATAACAAACATTATTGAACTGCATAATCTATGAATCAGTAAAGAGATTCATAAAGTATGGGGTTGTGGAGATTGTTAAGTTTTTGATTGAGATCATGAATCGATCAATGTTAGACCACCATTGAAAACCTGAAAGAACTGGACGGCCGTTTCGTCCTAATATGAGACTCAACAGAAATGCACACCCACAATTAAGCCCGCGCAATTCAAACCCAAGACCTTTGGTCTTGCTCACGAACGCCTAACCTTTAGAACACGGCTGTCTAGTGCCTCCAGGTTTTCAATGCTGCTTCAAAATCGATCTATTCACAATCTCAATAAAAAATAAATATATGATCGATTGTTTAAAGAAATGCTAATATGTACGAACACTAATCGTAACAGTTTGTAGGATAATTTGAATTGGGATGATCAATGATTCGAATTACTTTCAAAAATATAAAATCAGCATTATTGATCACATCAGTTATCGATAAACACTTAGAAATTAAATAAAACTAAAGAGTTATATCGTGCCAGTTTAAAGTATTTCATTCATACACTGATGTGTTAACAGATAACCAAACCGAAGATTCTCAAGTTTTGAATATGACTAAGCTAACGGTCTGAAGTTTATTCATTTATATTATTAAACTCCAGTCATTTTATAATATTCCGTTTAGGCATTAGCCAATGAAACTGGTGAATAAATTCCTTAACCTTGACATAGTTATCAATGTAAGTGAAGTGATTCTTGATTCAATTACATCAATAACAATTTAGAAGTTAATAAGACGACTGTTATTTACAATTACTTCATACATGCTCCTTTGTAAGCAGATTTGATGATGAAAACAATGATTAATGAGTTGAAAAAAGGTTTGACAGAAAAATCATATCTGATCTTGTGTCATTACAGCTTTTACCAAGCTTACACTTGACATCCTATTGCACTCACAACCATAATCTATTGAAATACTCATCAATTATACACAAGTTAAATATTTCACAATAACTGATTCTTCAAGAGTCATCACCGTTTTGTCAATATTTGAGGTTGATTTACTATTAATCACGTAAAAATGTTTTTGCTAAGTTACAGATTTCGCGTGGACAAATAAGATTCATCAACTTAGAAAAGTTACTGTTTAACAGTTTAGTCCCTGTGCAAACATGTAATAAATTACTGAATAACATAAGATTACGACACAATAAATCAACCATTAAAGAATTCCAAAGTTCATACCACTTTGTGGTTTATAGGTGTAACCTGTTCTTCCGGAGCTTTTCCTTACAGATTTCGGTCTCCACCAAGTATGTTTTACACTTTGTATGTGCAACTGACGTCTTTGTTTAATTCCAGCCTAATAATAAACAAAATACAACAAAATAAGTAAATTTGTTTATTTGAGACTTATTAGACAAAGCGTTACGTTTGTTACTAATCCATATTTTTAACTTTAGTCAATCTGCTGAATAACTTAGTCTTTACTCAATTAAAGCAAACGATACTGGATTTGAGTCCTGAAGTGAACATGAACTCTGAGATGCAAATACATCCAGCTGATAAGTTCTAAATAAGACAAATTGAGCATTGTGGACTGCGCCGCTGGTTATCATATAACTCTACTTATAATGCTGATGACTTAAGGAAATGTCGAGACCATCTACAAAGAATGTACATATGCCACAAATGACTGATCAACTACAGTCTGAAACATCAACGAGAAGATTCAAACAACTAATAACAATGAACTGATCAAATATATACTTTTTAAACATCAAACATCAATCATGTATATTACTTCTACATATCATGCAAAATCGATTTTCTATCATTAAACGTAGTGCTTGCATTGTTCATCAATGTGTTTATGATGATTTCTAAATGAAGTAACGAATTGTTAACCCAATAGTTTTCATTCTTATATATTCTTAATATATTGTCGTCTACGCAATAACACTATTATATATATGATCAAAAAAGAATCAGATGAAAATGACATTAGATCAATATTACAAAATTAGCATATCATCAAGCACATACTCGATATAAATGCATAACTGCTTGATTATCTATATTCCATATATCGAATGGAAATGTTTCTATAAAGTATTAAAAGGAAAAACAAAATTAAACACAATAATTAACTAGGAATTTACATATTATGATTTGAAAGTAAACAAGGTTTAATAGATAATCTATTGATAATCAATCCTATCTGTTGATTTTATAAGAATGTTATCGGTGATTTGATAATTTACAGTTGATTAGTTCTTTCACTTAACAGTTATATAGTTGAGATCATTAGCCGATTGAAGCTAGATCATCATAGAAAACCTGGAAACACTGGACGACCGTTTCACCCTATTGTAGGACTCCTCAACAGTGCGCGTTCACGATCACGCCTAACGAGATTCCAGCTCAAGACCTACCAGTCTCGCGCGCGAGCGCTTAACCGACAGACTACCGGGGCGAAATCTAACGGTGTTAGTGTCTAACTTCAACCAATCCAGGAAATTGAGCAATCATTCACCAACGTCTTCAGTGAGTTGATATCTCACAACAGACCTGGTTGAACTCCACTGGTTACTGCTTCTCACTAGAATTCCAGGAAATACCTCATGGAGCTAGTCACTAGTTATATATTTCCTTATGATTGCTCTGTGAATTCAGAGACTAATTACTGCTGGCTTAGAATGCAAGTTTTAATTCGTTATGAATGAACGTTAAATGTTTTGGTGTTGTTAAGCTTCCAGAACTGGATAAATTGTAAAGGAATCTTTTTGTTAATATCACGAAGGGTTTTTGTGGATATTATAGTAATTTTTATAGTTGAGATCATGAGTCAATTGAAGCCACACAACCATAGAAAACCTGGAAGCACTGGAAGATCGTTTCGTCTTATTGTGTGACTCCTCACCAGTGCGCATCCATGATCCTCGCCTCAACATGGATAAAGTTGAATTAAAAAAGAATGTAATGTTAATCTAAAATCTTCGAATGATCTTTACTTACTTTCCCACTTTCCACTATTTAACTTAATCTCTAGTCATTTGATGAGACAATTTACTTTAATAATTTGTAAATTATCTTTTCATTATTTTCAAATGATCACAGTATGTGGTGAAACTTTTGTAAACTGGTTACAGGTACCCGGGTGGTTTTATTGGGAACATGGATAGAAACAACTTTGGTAACGGTAAAAATCGACTAGGTTAGCATAATTCTATATTTTAGAACTTCTACAATATTTTCTTATTTTTGAATTATCAATGAGATGATTTTGACTTTTTGACTAAACCATCAAGGTCATATGACGTAACCTAATCGAATACATGTTTTTAAATGTGATTATAGTCACTAGTTCGAAACACATAAACAGTGTATTGTTAGGATTCTAACTCTCACTAGATAATTAAATGTTCATATTAAATAAGGCGAAAAATGTCAGTTTTCTAATTCCCAAGCCAGATAACCAGTAACAAGTATCAAAAAAGAAGATATTGATGTAAACAAATGAATAAATGTTCTATGGCTCGTTAGCAAATATCAGTTTTATATTGTTTATTATTTTTGGTACACAAATAGTCGAATCATTCAATACTTCATACCAAATTTTCAATTGATATATTAAAGTCTACTCGTATAAAATTTTACAAATGGAAGTTTGAAGATTATCATTCTAAAGATAAACTATTTAAAACTGAAACCCTGTATTCCAGGACTTCTGTTATCGTACAATTTCTGTAAAGCAAAGGGATGTAATAACGTCCTGCTTACGGACCATTCAGTTGACACATAACTTGTAATAAAATAACTAATTATCTTTAGTTTATGGCTATCTAATCAATAGATTTATGACCTAGTGACAACTTATCATGAGAATCAACCTATTCAAATAATATATGTTGAAAGACTATACAACTAGACAGTAGATGAACTAATTTCTGCTTAATATAACACATTTAGACATAAAATATAGGACACAATATACATACTGCTAGAATACACGTCAAATATATTTTAGTTAAATTACTTATTCAGAGAAAAACATTGAAATATATGGTCCTATTTCATCGTTGTGATCGTATAATCGAAAATTATTTCCAGGAACAACTAGTATTCATTACATGAACATTATAGAATCTAATGTATAGCAAAAAATTTAATTATAATTATATCCCCATGTACGTTTTACAAATTAAAACAAATTCAACAAAACACTTAAAACTGAACTATAACCATCAACGCATAAGTACATTACTTAACGATGTACCTGAAGTCCTTAAACAAATACTTGACCGACGGAATTCAAACATTCTAAGAGTGAATTATCCCCACCAGTCACATTGAATACTCATCAAATCATGTTGCTCATTTGGAACTATACCATTGGTTTTAATCGTTAAACGTTTTCCATAGAACCTTGAGATTCTTAGTCTAAACCTATACGAGTTCGTGATTGTTCAGTGCTTAGGTATACAATACTGAACTGAAACAGTTACTCATTTCTTCTAAGTTTTCAGTAATACATTAAATGAGATCAGTCTATGATGAATACAACTTATAGATTAAAATAATCTACATGAAAATCCCTTCAAAATTTGATCTTTACTTCAATTTCTCTTCTTATCATTTACTAATTTGAATTCATCATATAATAACTTATTAAGTTTATTCATAGTCAACAAAATTTGACAGATTTGGTGAATGGTTGCTCAACTTCGTGGATCAGTTGAAGTTAGACATTAACACCGTTGGATGCCAGCTCAGTGGTCTATCGGTTAAGGGCTTCGGCTCGAAACTGGTAGGTCCTGGGTTCGAGAGTGGGTTCGTGGATGCGCACTGCTGAGGAGTCCCATAATAGGACGAAACGGCCGTCCAGTGCTTCTAGGTTTTCCATGGTGGTCTAGCTTCAATTGACTCATGATTTCAACTTTGAAAAATACTGAAATCTCCACAAATCCCCTTCTAGATTTAATTTACTCCAATGAAACAATATCATATGATGTTCTATTTAAATGCAAAGAAGCTTAATTAATTATTTACTTAGATTAATTACTATGGTTTGCTTTCCTTTTTTCATCTATTTACATTCAAAGAATAATCATTCGTTCGAAATGACTTATAATTAGATTAAATAATGAAATATTCTATATAAGAACTTTCGTCTAAATTAGAGCAAATAGTTTCACAGTATTTGAGCGCCGAGTTGATGTAAGACATTAAATAGGAATAATATATCTTTGTAAAATCTCAGCGAATGAATTTGAAGTAAATTCAACGTTTCTCTTGGCAATCTAATCTTAGATTTTTCAAGGAAATATTCCTATATAATGGAATATTCGTAATCTTTAATTTACTTTTATACATAGGTCACTACAATTCCTTTTTTCCTTTGATTATCTATATGAGTATAGTTGTTGATGGGTTAGTTTTCCAGTAGAAGTATAAATAAGATTAATTGTGTCGATGTTTTATTAAACATTTTTGATTATATTTAACATATTCATGAAACCTATATAGTTAAAAGCTACCTATAACTGTCATTATCATTGATGAAATTTTCATTCTGTATATGATAGAGTCATGGGATTTTGTTTAGGCAGATTATTATTATTATTATTATTATTATTATTAATTGCTTTGTATTGGTTGCCTGAATCTTTGTGTCGATGTTATGGATTGCAATTGACCTGTACTTTTTGGTATATATGCATTCTGTGCAAATTGCCTCAGTATTGTCATTAAGTCATAAGTACTGATATTCATTACATAACAGTCATAACAATAGTTCATAAGTCAAATTAAAGCTAATAATAAGGGGGACATGAATATATGCATAGTTTAGTTACTTAACAATTATACAATAGGAAATATACACATCACATTGGTCTACAAATAGTCGTCATAGTTACCATTCATAAATCTCCATGGTATATAATATTTAGATTTAATGTAATTTTTAAAGAAAATAATCTACATCACAAGCAGAAAATGTAACCAATAAAACAGTTACTTTAATAAATTGAATAGATACTTACATTTTTTTTCAAATAGAGAATAAGTCAGAAAGTGTACTGTGTTTAAACAGATCTACAAAATGCTCAAAATATTAATTAAATACGTTTCTTTCTTCCAGTTTAATTTTCACTATTCATATTTAATCATTTCAATAATGTAGAAGTCTAAATCATTGAATATCAAATAAGTGATCTGATGTTAAATTATTCGTTGTGACGACTGAAAACTCTGAGTTCAAAAGTTTTCAAACTCGTGGTTGCCTAATGTGAGGAAGTTTCCTACTAAGATAAAAAAAATAAGCCATCCAGTCCTTCCTAACTTAAGCTATACTATACTGTAAAAACTACAAATCTATCGTTGTAGTTGATTGAAGTTTAGATTTCTCAACTTTTTTTCCGATAGTTTTACTAATAAACTTAGATTAGACTACAGCAAAAGCTAAGCTAATTTATAAATAAGTATACAAAATGATAAATATATCCGATTACATCATTTTCAGTTGCTTTCATCTAATGTATTTGAATCAGTCATAGTTCAATTTAATCTGGTTAAATTATTTATAAAGACATTGATAATCTTTAAACCATAAACATTCTTGAAATTCTTGATTCTTAGTTGTAATAGCTGAAATGAACACAATTAATTGATTAAAACTAAAATATACTAGTTCAGATATCAGGCATATGTAATTTGATGTTGTAACTAAGCTATCTAATTCTTGTCATATTTTGTCATAAGATGTGGAATGATAATAATGACAATGATGTTTTATTGATACCAGGAATACGAGAAATATATTTGTGACTATTCAGAATAAGAGAATAAAATATATTAGGAAAAAATGTATGCGGGTAATTTTAAGTTGTTTCTTCAAAATATCGACTATTTCACAGTAACCAAATATAATCACTAACAAAAATATTGATGACTATAACTACAAAACAAACCTATCACCCGTAGTAGTTTGTGAACTCAAATTAAAAAGAAAAATTATACAATATTGTGAATCTAACAGCATTATATCTTTTAACATAAGTTTATTATTAAAGAGTAATAAGTGAGATAAGATGATGATTGGAGGTTGTGAACAGGAAATCCTAGACCCGGGTTACGTGTTACTTGGCACTCGTCAGCAGGCTTGAGTGATCACTGGGTACTGATCAATGTCATGTGTGTCAAGTCCTTCTTAGTGCAGTCTAATAGTCTAATAGAACATATATATTCCTACTACAAGACAACATAGATCACTATACGGTGATCAATCAATTGTGATAACATCTCAGTCCCACAGCAGGACAGTCATGGCCTGAATAACTCAGTGGTAACGTCTCTGGTTGTGAAGCTGAGTGACACGGGATCGAATCCATCAGAGAGCAGCAGTTCCCTCAAGATTACAAGTATACCTTGCTGACGAATGCCAAGTAGCACGAAACAAGGGTGTAGGGTTTCCTGTTGACCAACTCCCACCACCACTTTATCTCAACATAGTGCACTCAGTGTCAACCCACCTAGACTAGTGGCCACATTGCAACTTGATCGATAGCATTCGATCAGCACTAAGAAGGAGTTGTCTCGCATGACAGTAATCAATCAGTTATGAAGAGTAATAATTATAATCTTAAATAACAAACTATCATTCCTCAACTAGATTAACCAGTTCAAATTGGGAGTAATTATCGTTTTTTAGACTAATAGTAGTTTATATATTTCATAGTTAGTCATCACTTTGTAAGCCTAATTGTATTACATTATTCTCAAGATATATCATGAAATTTCATAAAATTACTTTCGATTATTATCTTGAAAAGAGTATTTTATTTCGTCACGTTCTTTTTAACCACTTATAAGCAACTTACGATAATTTAAAATTAATTACAAAATTAATATACTTTTAATAATGAAATTATTTGAATGTAAATAGGTGTTATTACGATGGAGAAAACTCCGCCCGTAGCTCCTCTGGGGGCTACTGACGGTTCTAAGCCCGGGTAAAGGAAGAGGGTTAGGCATGGGGCTAGCGACCCCATCCCGTAGAAAACTAACTTGCTTAAAACAACACTAACCAGAAAAAGCTGGTCGGTGGACTATGCTCCATCGGGAGTAATAGACGAAAATAAGTAAGTAATAGTGGAGCAGCTATTCAAATAAGAAAGATGTGATTGAAGCATAATAGAATAATGTTGTAAGTAGAGAGAATATCTACGAGAAGATTCTATAGCATAACGAATAGTAACAGAAATTTATAGAGCTAAGAAAATAAGTGAATATGTGATATAGCAGATAACCCCAAGATCACGGTAATTAGGAATATAATCAATGGAAATCAGTCAGTTAGAAAAATAAAAAAAGAGAGAAACTAATCAATTACAGTTCATCACACTATTAGGAAGATTCAAGCAACCAATACAAATAAATTAATATTAAAGGTTGGTTGAATGTAGTTGGTGAGATCAAAATGAAATGAATTCATATTTGTAAGTATGGCTCATTGGCAAACTCAAGGAACCCTCAGGAAACCCAGAAATGGCCGAAGACATTCCATCTAATTACCGCTAGAGAAACACTCTAGAATGTCGACGTTTAGCTTGCCTATTGGACGAATAAGAAGGGTCCCCCATATGTCTGTCCGAAATGATGATTTACTTTCATCCAAAAACTATAAATACATTAGGTTTTTGTACTATATTTGACACTGTTTGGAATAACATTCCTACTTACTAGTCTTCTGTCTTCTCTCTTGCGACGTTGCGGGTTCGATCGTTCAGGTAGTCTAGTAGTACGCGGCATAGCAAGAAACTAAAGCTCTAGATATAACAATATTATTTTGCTCTTTTCTATTTATATTAGGAAGTTGGAATCTTCTTTGGTCTTTACGTTTTATTAAGTGTTTAACTATATCTTAATGTAGTAAAATACCTATTGTTTAGATGAAAACAGGTTTAAAAAGATTTCTTGATTGTTAACAGACATCGTCATCAATCAGAGTGCTTTAAAAAACCTTAGGGATTCATCTATAAATGAAAGTAACCATAAAAATCTCATTTCGCTCAACGAACTTCATCGGGATTTAAACTTGGGACTGAATGTTCTTGTTAGACTAATTAGTTAGTGTTTTTTTCAACTCACTTTATCGAAGTGAACATGTTACATGAATATCATGGTATATTAGGAGCAATAAATCATTTTTAGATAAATTCATGCAAAATAAGTACTTTACAATGATTGATAGCATAAACCTTATGGTCACGAGTAATTTGATTGATATGTCGTAAGTACAGTTGAATGATTATTATCATAGGATTCCAAATGTCAACATGAACGTCAATGGTGATTAGTAATCTTCCCATTACTTTTAATATAACTAGAAAAGTATGAAATAAAGAAGTCGGAGGAACTATTTAACTTGGAGTTAGTTTTCATAATGGACTGCTGTGAACTGAGGAACCACTAAAATTTCAAGCAGTAGTAGACATACATTTTTGTCTGATTTGAAACTCAACAGGATCCTTGACCTATCTTAGGTTTTACGGTGCGACTTTCAGATCGCATCACAGATGAAATAACAATTTGTCAGTCACAATTGTTGTAGATCACACTATATCATGAGTTGATATATGTTAGAAATAAAGGTCCTTTGATTCGAACTCAGTTAGTGAGATGTATCTTGCTCACCATGAAATATGACATTTATGGATTTCTTCTCTCATGGTGTAATTAATACTCACATCTGAGAAGCATCAAACTAGGACAAAATAATTCTTTACTGTTCCTTGATGTTCCATGATTCTTCAAAGGATTCCACTACGACATAGAAGTTATCTCTACAGACAACCAAAATTGACTTGGAAACGGTTCGAAAAAAAAATTACTTTGAAGTCATGAAAATATCATCACAAAGCATCTAATTAAACTCATAATGGAATTTAATCGTCTTGGTCTGATATGACAATTTGACATCATCTTTGAGTTGTTGTTCTACTGTTTAAATGACGAGAGATGATACATTTCTTTTTAGTTTAAGACTATTTATAATATCTTTTCACAACTCCATGAGTAAATTCAATGTTTAGATAACAAGATACTTTAGTATAAATCATTGTAAAATCAATATATTTTATCTCGTTTACTCTCTATTACCATTCTAAATTATATCCACAGATGTGTATACTACTTTAGTCATCTTAAATAGTCTAACCATCCATACACAGATAAAGACCCTGTGGTTACTCTGAAATCAATTATTTTAACAGAAAACAAGAAACTTATAAAAATATTACCTTGTTTTTTGTAAAATCCATACGAATTAAGAACATAGTTAACAAGTTTTTCCTAAAAAAAGGAGGTTGCAAATAAATAAAATAATATTCAGTGTTTCGAAAAAAGAATATTGTTCAATTCATGAGTTGATTACAGATAGACCACCATTAAAAACCTGGAATCACTGGATAGCCATTTCATTCTAGTATGGAACTCCTCAGCAGTGCACATTCACGATCCCACCTCGTGTGATTCGAACCCAGGACTTATCAGTTCTGTGAGTGAATGCTTATCCTCTAGCTAGACCACTGAGCCGACATCCATCGGCGTCAATGTTTAACTTCAACCAATCCACGAGACTATGCCACCGTCCATCGCTAATGCGCACTGCTGAGGAGCCCCATGTTAGGACAAAACGGCCGTTTAGTGCTTCCAGGTTTTCCATGGTGGTCTAGCTTTAATCAACACATGAATTAAACCATTAAATCACTACTAGCTCCATAAAATCCCCTTTTTTGATAAAAGAATAGTGATTTCTGTTTAGCCAAAACGTATATAAAAGCAGTATTTCAACGTTTAAAGTATTTAGAAAAACCAGTTGCTTCATCTCGCATTTCTTTAGATGTTTTACAAGCATTTTACCCTCACAATCTCGGATAATAGTTTTTGCTAAATATCCAACATCTTACGGATAGTTTATTGTATTTTCTTCACCGATGAGAGCGAAAGCATATCCAGTTCTATATACTCACTGGAACCTTGAGGTTGCTTTCTCAATCATGAATGTTCCCTTCCGATAACTGAACTTAAACATGGTTTGATTTGAGGATTACTTTCAAATTATGAAATTGTCACCATAAAATTGGGTTACTTCATTAATTTAACCAAGTATTTTATATTCACAGATTACATCACTGATTGATCTTAGTTAGACAACCATTGAGAACCAAGAACCACTGGACAGCTTATTGGTCCTAGTAAGAAACTCCTCAACGGTGCCCACTCACAACCCTATAGTTTATGGGATCTAAATTATTCAGCTTTCACAGCAAGAGCTTCACCTTATAATAAATGAGTTGGGATCCAGTGGTATGATTGTCTAATTTCCAGATCGTATATGAGCCTTTCTGGAGAGTCCCATATTTGGTTGTCGAACTAAGATCAGGCCGTAAAGTATTCTATAAAATTATTTTATTCCTAAGCTTAATACAAATGTATTTTCCCAGGTAAGGGATGACACGAAGAATGTTATACGACCATTATTTGGTTGCATCTTTGCTGTAAACAGTAATGACTCGTTCCTGATGACTTGGGAAATTAACCGGTTTGATACTACGTTTGTATTGAATCAAAAAGTATTTTATAAGTAAACATCCTATTAAAAGTTAGTTAGAAAACATAATGTTGTCTAGTCACGTTCACCAAAATAAACAGACAACTTTGTCATACGAAAAGCATGTTTATAAAATAAGGAGATATAACCGGAAATTGGCAATTTATGTGCGATCTTGCATTTTCAGGATATTAAATCACCAAAACCCTGTTCACTAATCCAAAATAAAGTAGTAATTAGTGTCATACTGTTTAGTTCTTAATGTTAATAGAAATTTATAAATTTTATTTATAGAAATAAAATCTGAATCCAGGTTTCCCATTGGTTGGCATTCATTAGTGCAATACTATAAGTAGTTGGTGTTAATCATTTGATTTAAAGCCCAATCATCCAATACTACAATTTGAAACATTATATTTGACCGACATTCTCTATGATTGGGATATTTACACTTATGGATTTCCAGGTACTAAGCAATGTTATATTGCTTAGTTTTCTAAATCCTGATCAAATGTTATCTAACAAGTTTATTGAAGGTCGTCAAACGAGTATTATTTCTAATAACTAGCAGATGCAATAATTTTGTGGTTAGACCGAGAAAGTTATTTCATAAATTTAGAAATGAGGAAGTTATTTTTTTAATGTTACTATAAGTTTAACTAAATACAATGAATGTACTAATCGACAAACAGACACATAGTAAATTACGGTAATTCAATTACTAGTAATTAGAATCCAAAAAGTGTATTTACTGTCAACTGCAACGAAATATATTCCTGGCGTATTTTTCGAATATAAATCAAAGATGACGCCGAAAACAAGTTATGTGAAGTTTAATATGCAAAGTTAGACAAATCCGAATCAATTAAACTGGTATATCTTATCTAGTTTAACTGACATAAAGGTATGTCTAATTAATCACAATTATTACAAAACATTTTTTTAAAGTATTTCACAGTGGCTACATCAATAAAAGACTTACTTACTTACTTACGCCTGTTACCCCTCGTGGACGAGCATAGGCCGCACACCAGAATTCTCCATCCAACCCTGTCCTGGACATTCCTTTCCAGTTCTTTCCAGTTAACATTCATCCTTTCCATATCTGCTTCCATCTCCCGGCATAATGTTTTCTTTGGCCTTCCTCTTTTCCGTTTCCCTTCCGGATTCCAAGTTAGGACTTGCCTCGTAATGCAGTTTGGTGATTTCCTTAATGTATGTCTTATCCACTTCCAACGTCTTTTCCTGATTTCCTGTCCATTTGGAATCTGGTTTGTCCTCTCCCATAAAACGCTGTTTCTGATATTATCCGGCCAGTGAATGTTGAGTATGTTGCGTAAACAACTGTTTATAAATACTTGTACCTTCTTGACGATGGATGTAGTAGTTCTCCACGTTTTGGCTCCGTACACTGGGACTGTCTCGATGTTCGTAGTGAAGATTGTCACTTTGAAGTTAGTTGAGAGTTGTTTTGAGTTCCATACGTTATTCAATTGTAGGAGGCTGTCCTTGCTTTGCCAATATGTGCCTTTACATCTGCATCAGATCCTTCATGTTCACCAATGATGCTTCCCAGGTACGTGAATGTTGCCATCTCTTCCAGAGTTTCGTCATCAAGTGTGATTGGGTTGGAGTTCCCCGTGTTGTATTTGAGAATCTTGCTTTTTTCTTTGTGTTTATTGAGGCCTACTGATGCAGAGGCTGCTGTTACACTAGTTGTCTTCACCTGTATTTGTTCGTGTGTATGGGACAGAAGAGACAGGTTATTTGCGAAGTCCAAATTGTCTAATTAATTCTGAGCTGTCCATTTCATTCCGTGTTTCCATTCCGATGTCGAGGTCTCCATAATCCAGTCGACCACCAGAAGAAAGAGGAAGTGGGAGAGTAAGCAGCCTTGTCTGACTCCGGTCCTAACTGGAAATGCATCTGTCAGCTGCCCTCCATAATAAAAGACTATGAACTAGTTATTAAGTTGCGATCATTAACTTAAGTTTGGATAATCGTACACAGTTGGAATTTCTATTAAATGAGGCATTCAATCATTTTGTAAAGTATGGAAGGTCGAATATAAATCTTAATTAATAACATTCATCATATAAATGCATCAAATAGAATTAACTAATAACCAGTGATACACAAATGATTAAAATAAAATTAAACAAAACGACTTTTATCAAACAAAATTTTTATCTGTTACCGGTTGTAGTGAATACGTTGTTTTGCCTAATAGCAGTTCCTCTAAACGGGCAATACGAGTTGGTAGTAATGGTTTTGGATTTAAGTTTTTGAGCATATCAACTATTTCTTCTTTATGAGTTGCCCATAAAATTATTATAGATGTTCATCTACTGCAATCTACATAAATAAAGTTTGTACACATGCATAGTATTAGTTCAGTTTAGTTTTTTGTAAATCAGCTGTTTACTGACCTTAATTTTGAGTCACCATAGTGAAGGTAAGTAACTGTGTATTCATTGGTTGATTTATTTTATTGTTTTCTGCACATATTTGTATGTAGATCAATATACATAAATAATAGAAAATTATTAAACAAAATTCTAGGTTGAAACGTAATTCGTACACCAAAGCAGTTGTGGTATGACAAAATTAGGACTTCACACAGACAAAGTCTAAGGATTAAGACTGATAACATCATTGATTGACTGTAAAACTGAACATCGTGACTAGAATCATATGAAAAGTATTAGTACGCTTAAAATTCTAGATAGGCCTTGGTAAAGAGCAGTAATCTAGACAGATCTAAGGTTCTTTACTAATAGTCTACAACTGATTAAGATCTAAAGTGAAAGGTGTATGATAATTATCGATGTCCGGATTTTATGACTGAGGGTCTAGATATTTAACTATATATTTATATATATAATCGCAACCGTGGAAAGTTACACATTCCCAATCTTCACAATTGACTAGAACTTATCATTTAAAGAGTAAACTAAGATGATTAGTGAGAAGCAGTGACCAGTGGAGTTCAACCGGGTCTGTTGTGAGACAGTAACACACTGAAGACAATAGTGGATGGTTGTGCAATTTCGTGGATTGGTTGAAGTTAGACATTAACACCATTTGATGTAGACTCAGTTATCTAGAGGTTAAGCGCTCGTGCGCAAGACTAATAGGTCTTGGGTTCGAATCTGGCGAGGCGGGATCGTGGATGAGCACTGCTGAAGAGTCTCATACTTGGACGGGACGGCTGTCCTGTGTTTCCAGATTTTCTATGATGGTCTAGCTTCAATTGACTCATGGATTCAACTATTAAAATGATAAAGTTATTCATTTCATTCATTAGAACTTGTAACATGTAGTCAAGATCAATTAAATATCAAACTATTTTGTCTGCAGAGAGGTTTAGAAAATTTGTTTTGGGAAAGCGTTAGTACAATGACTTTTGACAATCAAAATGCTAAAAATTTCAAAATCAAGGGATGTTTAACCTTACATTAAATAAAGGATTAATCAGCCATAAAATCTAAATCAATTATACATCTAATGATTGTTACCAAAAGCTCAAATACCATAATGGATAAACTCGAACGAATGCACAATATACACAAAAATACAGCAATATTACAGTGTATCAGTTGTACGGACTAAATTCAGATGGATTCCCTTTTAATTTTGAATGCATCTCTTTGGATTAGAATGAAAGAATTACAATTATTGTAGACTATATGTTATTTCTATTCATAACATATATCATTGATTATGAAAGTTAGTGAAGATTGAATAAATAACAATTTTCCACAATTCATATTTTTACTGTAAATTATAAACTGACTATGTCTAGTAAGCTTTTTAATTATTTTTATATAGTTGAAATCATGGGTCAATTGAAGCTAGACAACCATGAAGAACCTGGAAGCACTGGACGGCCATTTCGTCCTATTGTGGGACTCCTCAGCAGTGCGCATCCACGATCCCGCCTCTCGAGATTCGAACCCAGGACCTATCAGTCTTGCGCGCGAGCGCTTAATCTCTAGACCACTGAGCCGTCATCCAACGGTGTTAATCCAAACCACGAAGTTGAGCAACAATTGAACGAAACGGTCGTTCAGTACTTCCAGGTTTACCATGGTGATCTAGCTTCAATTGACTCATGATTTCAACTATATACAATTACTAAAAATCTCCTCAAACCCCTCCCTTTTTAATCGTTCTCAAAATTCTTGATCAATATTATGTACAAAAGCGGATAACCTGTTAGTTATGTCCATAACTAACCAATCAAATCGTTGCTTAAGCTCCCACCACGTCAATCTGATCTGATATGTCTGTAAACTATCCCTGTTGCATGTGTCTTACCAATTGAAAGACATTATTATCCTATTATATTAGTGTGACTCATAAATTTTATTCATTTTATTAAGACACGCAATACTGGTCGATATGTTTGTGCGTTTCACTTAATGACTGTAATTCTTTAATTATTGTACTAATCTGATTGTTTTTATGTTTAGAAACAGATAAAGTTTAAAGCCAAGTTGTCCTTGTTCTGACTATAGCTTTCACATAGACTCTGGGATCGCCAGTATCGCGTTTACAGTTTAATAGTATATCTGTAGGACAAAATAAATCCTACATAACCTGATCCACTTATTAACGTATTTATCAAATTTTCGAAATTTTATTTTGAAAACGTAATTTTTGTATACTTGTTTCATAAATTGAAAATAACAGTTTGCATTATTGTAGATTTTAGATAATCAGTCTATGTTTTTTCGCTGAAAATTAAGTTTACTGAATTTTATGCGTAATGAATGGAAATTTATTAATAATGAAATATATATGATCAGGTGTTTTTTTCATCAACTGGTATTGCGTATTTCGTGCTGACGAGGATCAATGGAAAATCCATGGTAATTTCAATTGAAAAGTGACCTACTAGATATCTCAGTCTCTAAGATAAAAGAAAGTGAACCCCTAAGGTAATTAGGCAAAGGTAGAGAGAGTTTTATCCGCTTATGGTCTAGGATTTTTTGTAACTTCAATGGCCATGCTTATACAGCCACTGTAAGAGAAGTCCTACTCACTGCTTTTTCTTAGCGCGGGTGTTGTTTAAGAAATTAAGAGGATGGAAAGCAAATGTTCAGCGCTTTAACCGAGTTGGTGGATATGCAGAATCCATCTAGGGGAGTTGGAAAACCCTGGATCCAAACCGATGTACTCCAGAATCGTAAGGAAACATGCTGTTTGAATTTATTGTTGGTCACCTGCTACCGTGGGACTGCATCTCCCTATAGCAACTCAGATACAATTAAGTTTGTTTACATCTAATCTGGCTAAGCCCTTTTGTTAACTTATTTAATGGACAGTCATTCATACAATAACAACCTACCTATACGATTGTACTTTTATTATATACGCTTGAACATTGCTTACTGCCTACGCATGTATTCATTCCGCTAGCATTATTATTAATCGCTTAATTGATCCGATGACTCATGCTTTTCCACTTATATATATATATATATATATATATATATATATATATATATATATATATATATATATATATATATATATATATATATATATATATATACATCTTAATGCTGTTTGATGCTTACTCTCTGCTTTGCTCTACGCTACACCGTATTGTACACGCTTACTCACTCATTCGGCTCTCACGCTCGCTCGCCTGTTTTACGGCACTGCTCTTTCATGCTTGCTTAACGTGCCTCTAATATTGGATACCTGTGTGTGGTTCAATGATAAACGCGATCAGCCCTTCGTATTCGCCTTCTGATTTATACACCGTTAGGACGTTATCGAGTAACGGTTATCAAGACGAACAATATACGAAGTTAGGGATAATATCAAATATCGACCACCACACCCAACGTTGCTCCACTGCCTTGTGGATTAAACCTTTAGGTGATGGCTCAGAGAGTTGCCACCCCCCAAAAAAATTCATCTGCTTCTGTTTGGGCACCCGAGCAGTATTCTAACCCTCACACAAATCGAATAACGTAGTGTGGTGCATATATATTTAGTGCTTCCTTGTACCCATTTTTATGTGTTTAAATAAATAACTTCAATTATTACACTGTACAATCAATTTAATAGTTATCAAATATTCACAAAAATATTTAATCAGGTAATTTTATTCCCACTGGTATTGTTCATTTAAACAAAATGAAGTAAAAATACACTTAGTATTACTTGTTTGAATCCTCCCATTGATGTTTAGGACTGCAACCGGTCAGTCTCTAATTGGCATATGTGCATACTGTGCGTGTTACCTCCATATAGCCTTAATTCACAAGCATGGTAAGCAAAGATGGATAGTGGCTAGCAGTGAAATCCAGGACGCGCATTTCGTCCTATTTGGGACTCGTCAGCTGGGTTTACCTGCATCTCGGAGTTGATGTTCACTCTGGGAAGATTCAAACAAGTAATACTAAGTGTATTTAACCTGACCTCATTGCACAAGCAAGTGGCTATCACGACTCAGTAGCTGAGTGGATAATGCTATAGCGTTTGAAGCGTAAGGTACTGGGTTCGAGTCCTAGAGTGAGCATCAACTCTGAGATGCATGCACATCTAGCTGACGAGTCCCAAATAGGACGAAATGACGCACGTCCTGGATTCCACTGCTAGCCACTATCCATCTTTGCTTAAAATGAAGTAGGTATTAATTTTTTAACTAAAATTAATAAAGATTTGTAAACAATTCAAACTAGTGTATATAACATTAAAGAGTATCCATTGTCATCGATTCAATAATACTTCGGTTACAATTAATTAAATTAGCTGAAACATTCAATTAATTATAAAGAATTCTATATTCTTAAAGGGAGGTTTCGCGCACTGCTAAGGAGTTCCATACTAGGATGAAATGACCGTCCGGTGCTTCAAGGTTTTTCATGATGATCTAGCTTTAATTGACTCATGGATTGAACTGTTAAATCTTATATTCCAATATTTTTTAAAGTGAATTTAGATATTTTATATCATTCCTTTTTTTATTTTGTTATGATTTCACTTATCTGTTTTTCAAATTGAGCATATCAATAACTTTCAATGAACTTGTACAACTTTTATTAAGTGTTTCAAATATATTTAGGTCATTCTACTACAGATTTTTATTTCATATAATGGAGATCTTCATCATTTTGTTTCATTACATAAATAATCGGTAAATATTTAGAGTAACCAAACAATTATATCACTATCTATCGTACTCGACCCGATGTATAGTAATTCCTCAACTAAAGGATCAGTTACCTGGTTATGCCACTTCTATGTGTATCTATGAATTCAGCTGCTCCTGTGGAGAAAGCTATATTGGGAGCACTACCAGACAACTGAACCAAAGAGTTAGTGAACATCTCCCTTCGTGGTTAGGAAAAGGTACTGTCAAGACAATAGGGAGCTAGGTTCTTTCACACTTGATAGATAGCGGTCATATAGTTGACAGAAATAAGTCATTTAAATTTATTTATCGTATTCGTACTAGTTTT